CCATTAAACTGAAAAACATGTCGGACCATGTCCATTCTCTGCCGGACCGCATTGTGTTTAGGAAAAATGTGCTAAACCGCTTGTTCAATTAGCCGAACTACACCTTTTTTCATAAACAAAAGTGTTGGAGCGTGTGTCTATTCTGTCGGAGCGCATTTTTGTTTAGAAACATTAGTGTTGGACCGCTTGTTCAATTTGTTAGTCCACTGCTTTGACCAGAACAAAAGTGCCAAATAGCATGTCTATTCTACCGGATCGCAGTTTTGACCTGAACAAAAAATGTTGGATTGCTTGTTTTGACTGATGTACCGTAGTTTTGAAGAAAAACGAGGGAAAGAAGAGAGAAAGGCATCGGTAAAAGTGTTATGGTAGTTTAGTTTTTTTTTTTTTGTTTTAGTTTTTGGAGTTGGGGTGTATTTGCCAAGAAAGGATGTTTTGGGAAAAAAAAAGAGAGAAAAAATTAGGTTGGGGGTAAGTTACATAGAAAGTGTATACTTAAGGTTTTTTGTTACTTTCCCTTTAACTTTCCCAATGACAAACAAGTAAAAATACTAACACAATAATTTATCAACCAGGGTCCCCAACTTTTAGGCTACCAGTTTTCATGACCCAAACTCTAAGAAAATTAGTAACAGAGAGATTCCCAGAGAAGTTGCCGAGAAAGTTATCAAACGCACCCTTATAGATGATTGTTGGGCTGAGAAAGAACACGATTCCAAGGTATGCAATAATATCTTCATCTTCTTTTATTTTGTATTGGAAGTGTTTAAACAAAACAATACACAAAAAAACGCAGGCAAAGACATCCTTAACTTACCTAAAACAAATATTACAATAAAGAGGGAAAAAAATAGGAGATCCAAATAACATTATATTAAAATAAAATGGTAGAGAACATACTTATATATAAAAGATAAAAAAAAAAGTGATTGCATTCCATAGGAAGAGAGAAAAAAAAAAAAATGTGATCATCATAGAGTGAGAAAGAAAGAGAAGTACATTACGTCATTTAAATACCACTCTAAAGCTACTCCTCTCTCATTTAAATACCACTCTAAAGCTCCTCTTCTCTCTATCGATTGTGGCTGGGCAGCCTCGTATCCGTTCGCCACTGTTTTTAAAATGCATTTATCTCTTCCGATCAAGCGTGAATGACGGGTGCATAGGAGAGACACAATCGTAGAGAGAAGAGGAATGCATGAGATCGAGAGAAAGGCATAATTGTATAATTCTATAACGCAGATGGAACAGTTAGAATCACTTCGAGTGCATTATTGATGAGAAAGCAATAATAGAAACAGGTATATCATCTTTTACTTTCTTCCATTTTAATTAATTTTCTTTATTTTGTCTAATCTTCCTTCATTTATTTTTCCACGAATTCATTGATTATTGGTAAGGGCTTTTCTCTTCTATGCACAGCCTATGCTCTTGTTTCAACTGGGTCATCCAAATTAGGTTACCGATATGTTAACATAGGTAATATAGCTTAATTCATTTTCAACCTAATTTTTGTATTTGAAAATATATATTGAATTGTACGTCTTATTCTATTTGTTTTTATCTTAATTTTTTATAGATAATGGTTGGGCTGAGAAAGAACAAGATTATAAGGTATACAATAATATCCCCATCTTCTTTTATTTTGAATATTATTTAAAAAAAATTCAAAAAAATACAAACAGCATTAAATTCAAAAAAATATTAGAGTAAAGATGAAAAAAAAAAAATTAAAAATAGAAGACAACATATAGAAAAAAAGAAAAACTTAATTGCATTCGATAGAAAGGGTGAGAGAAAAAAGCATAATCGTACTCGCAATCATCATTGAGAGTGAGAGAAAAAAGTGTGATCATAATCGCAGTCATTTGTGAGAGTGAGAGAATGAGAAAAAAGAAAAAGAAAAAAAAAAAATACATCATAACTACATCATTTAAATACCACTCTCTACTATATTTCTTCTCTATGTAGAAACTCTTCTAGAAACTTTACCCTTTCATAGATTAAAATTGCGATTATGCCTGGGCTCCTATCGATTAGAGGCGATTCTCACAATAGATTGATCGTGACCGTTATTGTTGGGCAACCTCCTATCGATTAGTAGCCATTCTTATAATAGATTGATCTCTTTCCATAAATAGTAAATGAGACCTGCATGAGGAGAGAAACAGTGGAAGAGATTGTTCTCTTTCCATAAATAGTAAATGAGAACTGCATGAGGAGAGAAACAGTGGAAGCCGGGGAATAAGATGGAGATTGTCTCTGGGAGAGATGGCTGAGTGGTTGATAGCTCCGGTCTTGAAAACCGGTATAGTTCCGAACAAAGAACTATCGAGGGTTCGAATCCCTCTCTCCTTTTGTTCATTGAATATTTCTTTATTGGTTTTTGGTTTGGGTTGGGCCAGTAAGTGGAAGAGAGAAGACTGCATGAGAAAGACATGACTGTCTAATTCTATAACGCAGATAGAGCAAATTTTTTACTTTCTTCTATTTTTAATTAATTATCTTTAACTCATTTAATCTTCTTTCATTTGTTTTTCCATAAATCAATTAATTATTGGTAAAGAAACAAAATTTGAAGGGCTTTTCTTTTCTATATGTAGCCGATGCTTTGTTTCAACTGGTTTTCCAAAATTGGATGCCGTTATGTTAATATAGGTAATTTAACTTAATTCTTACTTTTGTATTTGAAAAGATATATTGAATACATCTTATTCTATTTTGTTTTTATTCTAATCATTTATAGATATTTGTTGGGCTGAAAAAGAACCCGATTTCAAGGTACGCAATAATATCTCAATCTTATTTTATTTTGTATATTGTTCAAAGTGTTTAAACAAAAAAAATGCAAGCAAAGACATCCTTAACTTCACAAGAACTCAAAACAATATTAGAGAAAAGATGAATAAAAAACACAACACATATGAACAACACTATATCAAAACAAAATGGAAGAAAATAAGCTAATAACATTTGAGACTTTTGAAAATGTTGTAATTGGTAAACTCTTTTATGGGTTCTTACTTATTAATGATTCCGATGGATCAAAACACCCCACATCGTTTCTCTCTCTAAAATTTGTTTTCCCAAGTTCTAGTTGAATGAGAGAATGTGAAGTACCCTAACTACTACTCTCTCGTCCCATGATCACCGGACCATAGCAATGAAATGCAATGAGAAGGCACAATCCTATAATCCCTTTCTCTCTCTTCCCCAGGATCCCCGGACCATACCAATGAAATGCAATGAGAAGGCACAATCCTATAATCCCTATCTCTCTCTACAATGGATTAAATACAAGAATCTCCCTGAACCACGGATCATACTCGATATAAAATAAAATATGGCAAAAATCAAAACCGTAACAAAAATAATAAATTCTAAAATCAAGCAATGAAGCCATGAACAAATAAATACCATTAAATTTAAAATTCGATTGCTGTCAAGAAAATCAAGCGCCATGCTCATTTTCAAACTAACAAATATATCATGTGATCTCTCTCTCCCTAAAATTGCAAAAACTATATTTTTTTTAATGGTGCACCAAACAAACTCTCTTAAAATACATACTTAAGAGTAATGGCCCTCCCATATCATGAGTGCAGGACTTCAAAAGATTACCATTAAATTTTGTACAAATCTCTAAAAAAAGTTATGATATGGGTGTAAGGCTTGATTTGTTCATAGATATGTGCCAAATTTAATGGTGATCCTTTGAGGTCCTACACACATAGATGTGAGAGGGTCTCACAAAATCATTACTCAATATTTAAAATCTACAAAAATTATAACTTTTTTGAATGGTGCACCAAGAAAAATACATCGTTCGTTCCTAACCACTATGAATAATTCTTAAAGCCAATAAAACTTCTCTCTAAATTTAGATCAACAAACATAAATAGTTCAAAGAAACACAGAAACCAAACAAATAACCATAAATAGTTTCTAAATTTTTCTAAATATTCTAAAAAACAAACAAAAATTTACTTCTCTATATTAGTAATTACACCAACAAACACAAATAATTCACAAAAAAAAAAATGAGAGAGGAAAGAAAATCATAACTCATGGACGCAATTCTGCTATCGGATCTGCAATTGCGAGAACCCAATCATAATCGTAGGTCGTGGCTATCGCAAAATTTTTATAAATAATCTAAAAAACAAACAAAATTTACTTCTCTATATTTGTAATTTACACCAACAAACACAAATAATCCAAAAAAAAAAATGAGAGAGGAAAGAAAATCATAACTCATGGACGCAATCTTGCTACCGGATCTGCAAATCCGAGAAACCAATCATGATATGACAATAGGTTGTGACTATCGCATGGGTAGAAATATCTGACCAGTGAAACATTGTATCGTTTTCGTGTACATCCCACTTTTTCTCTACTAAATTCTCTTACTTAAACCTTTCCGATTTTCTTGTCGGTTTTAATGGTTTTGTATCGGTTGTATCGTTTTCGTGTCCATCCCCATTTTTCCTCTAGTAAATTCTCTTACTTATGTGTTTGATTTTCTTAACGGATTCAATGGTTTTGTATCAGTGTCCATCCGCACTTTCCTTCTGCTAAAGTCTGTTATCACATCAATCTTTTCGATTTTTTTTATCGGTTTCAATGGTTTTCGATGTCTTTAACGGCTTTCGATTTTTTCATCGGTTTCAATGGTTTTGATGTACTTATCGGCTCGAATGGTAAGCATAGTCTTAAACTAACTCAAACCATGCTCGATTCGAACTCTTAATCTTAGTCGAACCACTTGGATGTAAATTAGCTTGACGCACTTTAAAGAAGCTAAAAAAGAAAATGGCTATGTTTGAAAAGAGTGAAAGCAAGAATGGTTGGAGAGAATGAGAAGATAGAAAATAAAATAGCTATGATTTAGTTCTTGTGACCATTAAGGGGCTTTTTCCGGATGCTTTCCTAGGTCATAATAGTATACAGTAGATTGGAGATAAGGTGTAATTTTTTTATTAATAGGAAAGAGAGTAATATGACGTGAAGTGCAATGTTTTTATTAATAGGAAAGAAACTAATATAACCTTATACGAGGCGTCCTTATATTACATTAGGAATTGTGGATTCAACAAATACTACATATTCAATAAGTTTATATTTAAGGGAAATTGATCTTGTGATACCCTCTCACACCCATGTATATAAGACTCTAAAGGATCACCATTAAATTTGATACAAATCTTTATAAAAGTTAAATCTCACATTATTTATACCAAATTTAATGGTAATCCTTAGGGATCCTATACATATGAATGTGAAAACGTCTCATAGGATCATTACTCTATATTTAATTAAAAAACTAACTTTAATTAGTCAAACTCTTTGCATAATTAGGTTTGCTTGAGACTTCTATTTGTGAATTCTATCTCAGCGCAAACATCTATTACCTTCAATATAGATTTCTATCTCAAGGGCAAACATCTTATACCTTCAATATAGATTTAGCAAAAAGGGGCTTTTTTTTGTGCTATCAGTGCATCTCTCTTTCAGACCATTCCTAACCTTGGATGGTGCATATTTGTCGGATATGTGTGATACTATAGTTCAACCACCAACGATGGAGTTTTTTTCTGTCTTAATTACCCAAAAAAACATGTGTTATATTGTATATACATTAAACAAAAATTTATAAAGAGCCGAGGCTCTAAACAATCAAATTGAAGCCCACCTCAAAAATTTCACTAGAAGAGGTTGTTTTGATGCCCAAATATCCTAAAATTGATCATCTCAATATCAAGATGTATGGACGTGAAAAACAAATTGCTCTTGTAATGCATTTTTGGGGTGTCAATTTTCAAGATTTCCAAGTTTTCATAAATTAGCTCGATTTACATTATTTTTGAAGCTCTAAATTTTATAATTAAAGATGAAAATATCTTTTAAGGCTATGACAAAGATTTTTAGTATTGAAACCATATTTTTCGACACTATTTGAAGATGCATTGTAGAAAAATACACAATAGACATTGGAAGGACTTTTAATGTCTTGATCGTTGTACTATGCTCAAGCCGAGAAGTTAAAATCAAAATAACTTTTAGCAATATTTGATTTAAATGAAAGGAAATAAATTATTTTTACAATATTACTTGTTATTTAATATTTTTAGTTTTTCTATTTAATATTTTAATCTTCAATGAAATACAAAAAGTACTAAATACGCACAATGACTAATAAAGATTTCCAATAATCCTTCAAAACAGGCTAATTTAATTAGTTGGATTTTCAAAGGCTACTTCAATTAAAGTGTCTGAAATAAAATTTCTAAAACATGAATATTAAGAGATGAAAAATATGATTACATACTTAAGCAAGATCAAAATAATATATATATATATATATATATATATATATATATTACACAACAAGATAGTAATAATAGATTAATGAAAAAGGGAACTTGAATATATTTACCTCTTCAATCTCTTCTGATGTCCCAATATATTTTTTCATCGAATGTATACTAACCAACTTCTCCCAACTTTTAATTTTTCAATTTATTCTCAAAATTTTGATGTTTTCATAGAGACACTTGAAAGGATTTTATAGCACCAAAAAAAGAAAAGAAAAAAAGACTGACCACAAGCGAAGCATGTTATTCCAAATTATTATCATGTTGAAAGGATGTCATTCGAAGCATGGTATTCCAAAGTCTTATAATATTGAACAAGAGTCGAAGCATGCAAAATACTAGCAAGCTAGGGGTAAGCATATATTGTAGAAAATTATGACAATTTGCATATTTATTTGAACATCTCGTCCTTTACTAAAAAAAATCAAATACCAAATAAAGCTAGTAATAAAAAATCTAAAAATACAGAGAAACATTATCAATTTCCATTACAAGAAGAACGCCCGAAATATGATTAAACACGCATCAAAATATTCACAAAAATTAAAAATGAAATATCTTAAAACATAAGATATAGATAATAAAATCAAAGGATTTTATATGTCACAATAAAAATAAACAATGTGAAAAAAATCAAAGAAGAATTTTATATAAAATTCAATAAGTATTTTTAAAAGATTGATATAAAATCTTTCTAAGATCAACATTATATTAATTCTATGATGGTCGTTAGTTGCCATTGTTCTACCATATAAGTACGATGGAGAAAAATGCTTAACATTTTATGAAATTCCTAAATAAACAAAAACGAAATATACAAAATAACTTATACATAAAAAAGGAATTGCAAAATAACAATAATCCTGTAAAAATGAATATCAGATAATTTACAACGAAATATATAGGAAATATTTATACCTAATTTAAAGCTTATCTCATAGCCAACTGTACTATTTATTTGCATGTAACGAGCGGCAGAAAACATATTGTATCAAACATCCAAGGATCCAGCATAAAAGGGGCAAAATATGAATCCAAATATCAAAAAAGTACAATTTTTAAAATGCTGAAAATCAACAAATAAATAAGGAAAAACATAACGTAGAACAAGGCTCATATCTCGCTAGAAAAGATTGTTCTGTCGTTAGAAAATTGTTGATCTTGCCCTCTATAATTATGGATCTGAAAAAAAATGGATTTCAGGTTTCAAAAATATTGTATCGTGCAACACATTATTTAGACTAAGGTTTAAAAAACGGATCAATGACCCGGATCGGCCACCTCAAAACTGTGCCGGATCGGTGGATCAACGATCCGGTTTGGAGAATCAACCGGAACGGCAGGCTTCGGCCCAAATGTTTTTTCAAAAATTAATAACAAATCCTTAAAAATAGTGTTTTTTTAGTTTCTAAAAAAAATGGGGAGCAATGTGTTATGTACTTTCATTATTTTGAAAAAATACATGAACAATGAGATGTTTTTTTCCTATTTGGATGTCTGTTAACCATTCATTCGTATCACTAAAAGAAAAAGTGCTTACAATCATAAAAATATGAATACAAAGTTTAAAATGGAGAAACAACTAAAAAAAACAACCTAATGGGCATGATAATAGTTGTTGAGTATGTAAATGGTCGGAAAATCATACTAAATGTTCAACAAACAATCGTTGTTGCCATCTTGATGTAAGTTGTACTATGCAATTCAGGAAAGTGTATACCGATTAAAAGTTTTCTTTTTTTTCTTTTTTACTAACTTGAAATGGCTGGAATTTTGGTTTTTCAAATACCAAAAATAAGCGAATTTCAGTTCTTGAAAAAAAAAAAATAGTTTGGCTTGTTTAAACATTACGAACCGTCTGTTTCGTTCAACACTTTGTCGCTCCACTATGTGTTCTTTGTATCTCTCTCTCTCTCTCTCTCTCTCTCTCTCTCTCTCTCTTACCTCTTTCACAAGAAAACCCATTCTATAGATTTGGTTACATTTGAAGAGAAGGTTTTTGACAGATTTTAACTGCATTTGACGGATTTTGAAAGCATTTGACGGATTTCAAATCTGTAATAAGGTATGTATATAATGATTTGTTGTTCAATTTTAGAAATTTATATTGTATAAGATTATCATTTAGGATTTCGTACTTGAGTAGAAGAGGTCCCTCTAGGATTTATTTGACGGATTTCACAATTCTATAAGTTTGGCAATTTGTTCGAGTGATATTTGGGATTTTTAAGAAGTGTAAATTTTTTGGGTTTTTAAGAACTGTAAATTATTGGGGGTTTTTTAAAACTTAAAATTTATAAATGAGTTATTGATTTAAGTTTGCTTTTTAGCTGCAAATTTTAATACATTTGGAACTAGAAAATTATGTGGATTCATAAATTCACATTTTTTTGTTGTTCAATTTATTTATCAATCATGTTAGTTTATTAGAGAGATTGGTTGTTGAGTCTGATACAAAGTTATGAATATGAAGCTCCCCTTCTTCTTTTCATTCTTTTTCTCTTTCTTGTAGGAACTTAGTCTTAATGTCTAGCATTGAGATTCCTCAAAAAATGTGTTGTATAAGGACTAAAAGTTAAAAGTTTCAAATATCAATGATCTTTAGCAATCAATGCATGATCATTGAGAAATTTCGACGATTCAGTCTAGATTACAAAATTGTAGACTTGGAGTCAATTTTGAACTTAATTCAATTATGTAAAGCTTTAATAAAATTGGCTCTCATTAGGAAAAATTCTCGATATTAGTAGTTATGGACAATGCTAGTATTTCTCGTGTTGTATAAGGACTAAGCCTTATGAAAAAAAACTTAAATTCATATCTTAAACTTTTATTGTTAACTTATATAGAGTTATCTTCTTAAAGAGCTGATTTTATTTGTTGATAGATTGAGTAGCTTAAAAATGGAGATTTGTATTTGAATTATGATGCATGTATTGAACATTTTGTAAATTCTTGGGGTTTCAGTGAATATGAATCGTATCCATCCATCCAGATGGGGGCTATCCAAGAGGTCATCAGGACCCTAGTTTGCTACAGCTACATCCAAAACATTCGTCCTATTACATTTGGGAAGGACAGGTATATGCATATGTTCATCTTCTCCTTCCATTAATTTGTTATTTTTAAATAAATTGTAGTATGTTTAAATATCATACAGGAAGTACATATATATGTATTGTGACTCATATGTTGTATATTTGTTGTATTCCAAGAAAAACAAGAAATAAGAATCAATGAAAAAACACATCAATTAAATGATTGGGATCTAACCAATAAGCAAGTACAATTAGTGAACGTGTCTGGGTTGGGTGCTCTATTTATTATCCGACCAGGTCGAATAGATCATCCCTTGGTCACAACCAATGTAGAGAGGTTGTGTTATGAGACCAATTCTTTTCATTATAACATTCAAATTAGTGAGATGATACCTACATTATTTGATGCTTACGAGATATTGGGACTGGTTGTAGATGGTGATCTTGTTACATATCGTCCAATTAGTGGCCTCCGAGAGTTTATAGAAAATAATTTGAGATTAGTCCCCACTGAAGGCAACTTAGTAGTCATCAAGCACTCATGGTTGAACGCCAACTTTCATCAATTGAAACCTAATGCAACCCATGTGCATGTTCTTAGGTATACCTATGCGCATCGAGTCATCAGTCAGGTCAGAATCAGAGGACCTCTTTAGCCCATGACCAACAAAGTCATGTGAGTTCTACCCCATCGGCAAGCCGGCATCGCCAACTTCTCATCCTCCAACTCCTGTAGAGCCGGCTCGACCACATGATCGTCCATCCCATAGTTAGTCCAGACCTAACCCTCCACAAGGTATGTATAGTCACCTACCCATGCAGCCTTTTCAAACCGCCCCAGTTCCATACCATCAGTCACAGGCACCCTATTCAGCTTCTATTCCAACTCAGTATCCCCCAAGTCAACCATACCAGTCGACTTCATACCCTCCGGTTGCAGTCCCAGCTTCTAGTCACCCGTACCTGGGATATCCTATGCACCAGGCCCCGACTGTCCATTTCCAGGCCTCAGCACCAGCTTATCAGCCTCCGGCTCCTCCAGTCTAAGCTCAGGCTTACCCATACCATCCTCCAACCATCTCGCAGGCCCCACCTACGTCTGGTCTAGAGCATCCCATATCAGCAGCATCCCTTGCACCACAAATTATGCAATCAGCCTCGAGCAACTTGCCGACTCCTAAGTCAATCGAGATCGCTCAACTGAAAGGCAAATTAGCCATGTTTAAAGAGACCATGGCTAAGATCGAAATTCCAAATATACTCCCTCCATAATCTTATGTCAAGGATGTTCTCGGGGATGTCAAACCCCTTCCTTCGGGTTTCATGTTTCCAAAGTTTGAAAACAAATTCAGCAGGAAGGGTGACCCTGATAATCATGTCACCGCTTACTTGTTGACTGTTCCAGTATTAGAAGACAAATCGCGCGGTTTGAAGGCCATGTTTCAATACACTCTCTCTGGACCACCTCTAACGTGGTTTTGAGAAATAATATCCAGGTACCCTGAGCAGACTCTTGACAAATTGTTTCGGCAATTCGTTGAACAATATCAAGGGACCAAGCAACAACCAATGACCCTCGAGGAGTTGGTTGCGACCAAACAAAACATTGGTGAGTCGTTCCTTGACTTTGTCAATCGATTATGAGAATTTGCATCAAAGGTCATTGATTGCGCATTTTTCGAGACCTCTCAGAAGAGCATGTGCGTAGAGAATTCCCTACCAGAATACATGAATTTCTTCAGTCATGGGTTGCGACCTTTCTCATTTCAACAGATGATAAATCAAGTTGCTTTCTATGAAAGGTCAAAGGTCACCGCTTACAGTGCAAAGTTTGATAACTCGACAGTGGTCGTACCATCACTGACTAAAACAAGGGGCAATTATAACGACAATCACAAAAAGAATAATACTACTGCTCAGGTAGGCCAATTTGTCGTTGCACCAGTTCCACCCCAAGCTCAAAAGATAAATGATTAGCCCAGGGGCATCGATAGGACCAATAACTTCAACTCCAGTAATAATGCAAACACTGGATACAGGAGGCCCTTTCTATAAGTTAACATTCCACTACTACAGGAACCTCTCTCTGCGATATTAACTAAGA